ATTTTTCAGTTTTTTGCACTTTTTCGATCGATTCGAGCATCCTGCACGTCGGAAAAACGCGGCACAGGCGCGACAGGAAACAACGCCATAGTGGCGTTTGCCGTTTGTTGGAATATGACAAATTTGGCAGTTTTTAAGTGGGGTCATTTTTAGTAATAGTTTTTGGAGGAAAAAAATCGAAAAAAAGGAGAAGGAAATGCGCTTATCTATGTACTGGCAAATCGGAAAGACGAGAGAGTGCAAAGAGAGAAGAGACGCAGAGAGTGAGAGAGAAAGACACATATTGTCGGAGTGACGTCACTAGGTTGATGGACAGTGTATAATAATTGATTTTGTGCATAATTTCGTCTAAGAATGGCAAAACTTGAAAGAAATAAGTTCAAAAAATTGAAATTTGACTAGAAGCCTTCTAGGTCATCAAAAAATGTATTTTTCTACAATTTAGAACTGCTGGCCGAGTTTTGGGTTTCTATTCCAACAAATGAAAACCATTTGCTATTTTTATTTATTTTCAAATTATCCTGAATAATATAACTACAAATGAACGACCGTAAAACCTTGAAATAGAAGGGCCGGCCCTTCGATTTTTCCAAGGTAGCTCCGGAAGGCCCTTCTATTACAGGGGCCCTTTAATTAGAGGGGGCCCTTCTATTTTTCCGATCAGTTTTCCCGTAATTGTTCACAGAAAAACTTGACAAATTTTCGCACAAAATTAATGAAAATCTGTCAATTTCACCGAAAATTGAACAATTTTTCATCGAAAAATAGAATTTCAATCCTCCGATTTTTCCAAGCCTCTTTTGGATGGCCCTTCTATTAGGGGGTGGCCTTCTATTAAAGGGGCCCTTCTAATACAGGTTGTACAGTAATGTAATTTTATTCAAATTGGAATTTCAATTCAACACATTTTAAAATTTCAATTATTTTCCTCTATTTTGCAGATTCCAATTTTTCTGCCTTCATCATTTTTGTATGAAAAAAAAAAATTAAAAACCGCCAGTATCATTTTTCATCTCGTTTCTAAAAAATCGAAACGGTAACAATTGTTGCTGTTTTTTTTTTAAATTTGAAATTTGTAGATTGTTAAGAATCTCAAAATAGTCGGATTAACCAAATTCTTCAAATATTCAAACTTTGGATTTTCAGTTTCTCCTTTAAAGATTGATAAACTCGAAGTTTGAGGTAAGTTCCAGAATTGTTGCTCAGCCGAAAATCCCGAAAAAAACTTAAATATGAACAAAGAAAATTCGAAAAATAAGCAATAATGATATTTTATTTCAATTCAAATTTCGAGTCAACACATTCAAATTTGCATTTATTTTCCTCCATTTTGCATGAATTCCCGCCATTTTGCATCATCCTCCGCCTTCTTCGTCTCAAACATTTTCTTGGCAGCCGCTTGATCTTCTGGTGATTGAGTCTTCATGAATGCATCCATGTCCGCCAACAACTTGAAAGTTGCACCAATTACTTCCAATGGACTTTGAGTGGCTCCATCTGGTTTCACTGCTGATTGCTTAGCTTCTGTTCCTATTCGAATTAATCCATCGGCTGCTTGTGGGGAAATACCGAATGAGAGAAGTTCCGCACGAGATTCTTCCGCTGAAAATATCCCAGAAAATTTGAAAAAATTGAAATTCCATTTTTGTTTCGAAATCTATCAGTGTGTCTGTTTGTCCGTTTAATGTCCTTTATATATCCAATTTTTGTGATATGTGCCGCTGAATTTATCCAATGTAATAGGATTTCGAAACTTTTGGTCCCATGGATTACTCACCTGCCGACATCGCGCATAAAAGTCTGAGCTCTCGTCTGCATCTCTTCTTCCTCTACACTCTCTCGCTTTGTGATGTGTGTTTGAAGGGGGCACATATCACAAAGAGAGATGAATAAAAGAGCGTAGAATGTGCTTCCGAATTCCCTTTTTTTCACATATCACAAAATCCGTTTCCATGGGTTACTCACTCATTTTCAATGTCAGAAATTTGAGTCATTTCTGAATTCTCGTAAAAATGCCTGCGTCTCTTTTACTTCTACACTCTCTCGTTTTGTGATGTGTGTTTGAAGGGAGCACATATCACAAATCGGAATGTATAAAAGAGCTTTTCACTTTTTTTTCTTAAATTTCGAAAACATTTTCTACTTGCCCTTTTTCATCCATTCAGTTACGCGGATTCTAACTAAAAGTAAGTTTTTTAAAGCAATTCTAACAAATTATATAGTTTTGAATCTCTTAAAAAATGTATAAATGTTTCGAATAATTAATTTTATATGGAACTACCAGCAAGCTGGTGCACCAGGCCTGTGCGGCAACAAATTGCCGATTGCCGAAATTGCCGAATTTTTGTTGCCGATTTCGGCAAAAAAATTTCGGCAATTTCGGCAACTGAAATTTTTTTTGAATTTAGAGATTTTCACAATTTTTTTAGTCAAAAAAAAATGATTTCGAAGTTCGAAAAATCAAATTTTGAATACCATCATCCCTCAGAGTGAATTTTGGAGGAAATGTGTCCCAATAATCATCAAAAATACTTGCATCGGATCTAAAAATGGGCTTCAAATTTGTGAGCATAGGAGAAAAATAAATATCATGAGTCAAAACTTATCAAAAAAATTCTCCAATCTGTCTCAAATCTCTAGGGAACGTGTGTCGTGAGTTGCCTAACAAGTTGAGCGCACTATTTTCACAATCGGAACAAATATTTTCAACCAAAGACGCAAAACTTTTGTTGCCGAAAATTGCCGAAATTTTTTTCTTCGGCAATTGCCGAGTTGCCGAATTGCCGAAAAAAAAATTGTTGCCGCACAGGCCTGTGGTGTACTTTCGGCGCGGTTCAATCTAGTTGGTTCGTAGCTTAGCTCTTCACTTTATCTTGAAAGGTCACTTAAATCTATATTTATTGTTTTTCAAAAGTCCACAGCCTGACATGAGGACGGACAGACGCGTGTAGCATTTTATAGATATACCAGCAAGCTGGTGCGCCTTCGGCGCGATTCAATCTATTTTTTTCAAAGGTTCGTCGCTTCGTTTTTCACTTTTTCTGAATAAAAGGTTCACCTAAATATGTATGTATTTTTCAAATTTTTCAAAAGTCCACAGACGGACACGAGGACGGACAGACGCCTCTAGCGTTTTATTAATAAGGAATATAAGGAAGACAGTTCATCAAAAATAGAAAAAAAATCTGATTTGTAAAGTCCCCAAAACATACTTATCCTTTTTTTCAGTGCCCGAGAAAAAAGAAGAGCTTCTAGCAGCTGGATTGTCTTCTGAAGCTGCCGATGGAATCATTAAAATCACAGAAGAGGCTGAAGCAAAGGGCGCCCGTATGGGACCACCCAAAAATGGATTCGATTTTTTGGGAAGACTGGGAACACTTTTGACAGATTTGGATACTTTTATCAAGACTAAATCCAAACAAGATCAGGAGGCATACAAAAAGGTTATGGAGAAGAAAAAGGCTGAATGGGAAGCGGCTGCTAAGAAATGATGAATTTTCATGTATATACATTTTAAATAAATTATTTCAATAATTTTGAACCAAAAGAATGAAAAAATTCCAGATAAGATGGATCTGGGGAAAATGTAACAGGATCATCTCGATTCCATTTTTCCGTTTCTGCTTCTTCTGGAAAACTGGAATTATTTTTGAAATTAAAAAATAATAATGTCAATCTGTGTGTCTGTTTGTCCTAAATTACCTGGTACAGGGGCACCAAAAACAGCAAATATTAATAGAAAAATAATTAAGAACGATTTGAACATTTTCAGAATTTTCGTGATAGGAAATTTACAAAATTTCTCTGTTTACACTCAAAAAACGTAATGTGATCTCTAGTGAAACTGATCTAAATCTGTGTCGGGTACAACTTACAAAAACCAGAATCCAAATTTTCAAAATTTTTCGAATTCAAAAAAGTTCAGTGTCCAAATGACGAATTTTTATTCAATGGGTACAAAATACTGGTCATTTTTATTGAAATAAATTTGTCTGTGAACTATAGTGATATAATTTTAAAATGTTGCGAAATCGAAGAATCACAAAACACACAGTGTGAAATTGATCTAAATCTATGTCAGACAAAAAAAATAACGAAATCCGAATTTTTGCAAAAATGACCAGCATTTTGGACCCATACTTGAAAAAAAATTCGTCATTTGGACGCTGAACTTTTTTATTAAAAAAGAATAATAAATTTTTAAAATGGATAGTCGACAATTAATCGAAAACTATCTTGGCGATTTTCGAATTTTTTCAACAAAAAAATTATTTTCAAGCAATTATTTCCAGAAAGAAATCTACAATTTCTAGAAAAAACCCCACCCGGAAATCTACAAAAAAACCTGGAAAACGAATATTGAACGTTTCCAAAATATGAAAACGAAAGACTTCATTTGCTTCATATAAATAAGAAAACCTATAAAATTAAGTAAAACATCATTTCAACAATCTTGAACCAATCAAATGGAAAAATTCAACAAAAGATGGGTTTGGTGAGAATGTGGCAGGCTCGTATCGGTCCCACTTGACTTCTGAAACTTCAATTTCGTTTCTCGATTCTGCTGAAAACTTTGAAATTTCAAAATTTGAAAAAATACTGAATTACCTATTGGTTTAGTTGCTGGAGCAGCTAGCACAGTAATTGCCAAAACAGAAAGAACAATGAGCGATGGGAACATTATAAAAGAAGTTTTGATATGAAAAATTAGTGAAAATTGATCCCTTTTATATGAAAAGTTTTTGTGTACTGTACGATCTTCTGTATTTCACAATATTGTGAAATCAATCTTGTTCGCAGACTCCAAAATAACAAAATAGCCTGTCCAATCAATTTTTTGAATTAAAAAAGTTTAGTGTCCAAATGACGAATTCGTTTTCAAATATGGGTGCAAAATACTGGTCATTCTTTCAAATTTGGATTTCATTATCTTTTTTGGGTCCGACACAGATTTAGATCAATTTCACACGGTGTGTTTTGTGATTCTTCTGTTGCACAACATTTTGAAAACTATCTGGTTCACAGACATGAAAAATACGAAATCCATTTTTGCCGAAACAAAATGACCTGTATTTGGCACCCATATTTGAAAAAAAATTCGTCATTCGTACAATATATTTTGTTCTTTTGGAGTCTGTAGAAAAAGATTGGTTTCATAACATTGTGAAATCCCGAAGATCATACGATACACAAAAAACTTTTTTCATATAAAAGGGATCAATTTTCACTAATTTTTCATATCAAAACTTCTTTTATAATGTTCCCATCGCTCATTGTTCTTTCTGTTTTGGCAATTACTGTGCTAGCTGCTCCAGCAACTAAACCAATAGGTAATTCAGTATTTTTTTCAAATTTTGAAATTTCAAAGTTTTCAGCAGAATCGAGCAACGAAATTGAAGATTCAGAAGTCAAGTGGGACCGATACGAGCCTGCCACATTCTCACCAAATCCATCTTTTGTTGAATTTTTCCATTTGATTGGTTCAAGATTGTTGAAATGATCTTTTACTTAATTCTATAGGTTTTCTTATTGATATGAAACAAATGAAGTCTTTCGTTTTCATATTTTGGAAACGTTCAATATTCGTTTTCCAGGTTTTTTTGTAGATTTCCGGGTGGGGTTTTTTCTAGAAATTGTAGATTTCTTTCTGGAAATAATTGCTTGAAAATAATTTTTTTTGTTGAAAAAATTCGAAAATCGCCAAGATAGTTTTCGATTAATTGTCGACTATCCATTTTAAAAATTTATTATTCTTTTTGAATAAAACTGCTCCAGTACCTAAACCAATGAGTAATACGAACGTTTTTTTTTCAAATGTTGAACTTTTGAAATTTTCAGGAGAATCAAGCAGTGAAATTCAAGTTTCAGAAGTGGAATGGGACCATACATGTCAAGAATTCCTGGAATTAGAGTTGACGAGCAAAAAAACTTGCTCTGTGTTAGGTTAATAGCTTGCCAACCGATACCATTAGATTCCTCTCATGATTTTATATATATAATACGAGCAAGTTGCAAGCTAGATCGTCAAAATTGAGCTGTTTAAAAAATATTGACGAGCACGATCCAACTGGATCCAGGAATTCAAAACATGTATGAATGGGACCGATACGAGCCTGTCACATTCTCACCAAATCCATCTTTCGTTGATTTTTTCCATTTGATTGGTTCAAGATTATTGAAATGAACTATTTTTTTGAATTTTCATAGGTTTTCCTAATGAAGTCCTTCGTTTCTTTTTATTATTTTTCTTTTTATTGTTTTCAATGTTTTTCATCATTTTTGTCGGTTTTTTCCTGAATGTTGTTTTATTGAAACAAATTAAGAATCGCCAAAAAATGTTTTATAGTTATCGACTAAATTTACAACTTTTTCGAAATCAATAAAGTTCAGTGTCCAAATGAGGAATTCTTTTTCAAAATATAGGTGCAGAATACCGGTAATATTTTTCGAAAATTCTGATTTTGTTCTTTTTTGTGTCTGACACAGATTTAGATCAATTTCACACTGTGTGTTTCGTGATTTTTCAATTTCGTAACATTTTAAAATTATATCATTCTAGTTCACAGACAAATTTATTTCAATAAAAATGACCAGTATGTTGTACCCATTGAATAAAAATTCGTCATTTGGACACTGAACTTTTTTGAATTCGAAAAATTTTGAAAATTTGGATTCTGGTTTTTGTAAGTTGTACCCGACACAGATTTAGATCAGTTTCACTAGAGATCACATTACGTTTTTTGAGTGTAAACAGAGAAATTTTGTAAATTTCCTATCACGAAAATTCTGAAAATGTTCAAATCGTTCTTAATTATTTTTCTATTAATATTTGCTGTTTTTGGTGCCCCTGTACCAGGTAATTTAGGACAAACAGACACACAGATTGACATTATTATTTTTTAATTTCAAAAATAATTCCAGTTTTCCAGAAGAAGCAGAAACGGAAAAATGGAATCGAGATGATCCTGTTACATTTTCCCCAGATCCATCTTATCTGGAATTTTTTCATTCTTTTGGTTCAAAATTATTGAAATAATTTATTTAAAATGTATATACATGAAAATTCATCATTTCTTAGCAGCCGCTTCCCATTCAGCCTTTTTCTTCTCCATAACCTTTTTGTATGCCTCCTGATCTTGTTTGGATTTAGTCTTGATAAAAGTATCCAAATCTGTCAAAAGTGTTCCCAGTCTTCCCAAAAAATCGAATCCATTTTTGGGTGGTCCCATACGGGCGCCCTTTGCTTCAGCCTCTTCTGTGATTTTAATGATTCCATCGGCAGCTTCAGAAGACAATCCAGCTGCTAGAAGCTCTTCTTTTTTCTCAGGCACTGGAATAAGAGAGTATTTTTTTCGGGATTTTTCGAAATCTAGTCGCTTCTTATTTTTTTAGAGATTTTTGTAGGAAAAAACCAAATGTTTTTCTGTTTTTGATGAGCTATTATACCGTAGAAAAAATTTTCAGAATTGCAGTAAATTTTTAAAAAATTTTAAAGTCTTCAAAAAAGTTTTGCTCAAAAAGAATACCTACTTTTCGTTTGAATCCGAGTAACTGAATGAATAAAAAAGGCAAGTAGAAAATGTTTTCGAAATTTAAGAAAAAAAAGTGAAAAGCTCTTTTATACATTCCGATTTGTGATATGTGCTCCCTTCAAACACACATCACAAAACGAGAGAGTGTAGAAGTAAAAGAGACGCAGGCATTTTTACGAGAATTCAGAAATGACTCAACTTTCTGACATTGAAAATGAGTGAGTAACCCATGGAAACGGATTTTGTGATATGTGAAAAAAAGGGAATCCGGAAGCACATATCACAAAAATTGGATATATAAAGGATGTCTGAAATCATATTGAATTCATCAAAAACTATTTTGAAAATGTTCAAATCTTTCATTTTGATTGCTTTCGTGGCATCTGCTCTTCTTGCGGCTCCAGTTCCAGAGAAGACTCGTAAGTTTTTAAATGGACAAACAGACACACTGATAGATTTCGAAACAAAAATGGAATTTCAATTTTTTCAAATTTTCTGGGATATTTTCAGCGGAAGAATCTCGTGCGGAACTTCTCTCATTCGGTATTTCCCCACAAGCAGCCGATGGATTAATTCGAATAGGAACAGAAGCTAAGCAATCAGCAGTGAAACCAGATGGAGCCACTCAAAGTCCATTGGAAGTAATTGGTGCAACTTTCAAGTTGTTGGCGGACATGGATGCATTCATGAAGACTCAATCACCAGAAGATCAAGCGGCTGCCAAGAAAATGTTTGAGACGAAGAAGGCGGAGGATGATGCAAAATGGCGGGAATTCATGCAAAATGGAGGAAAATAAATGCAAATTTGAATGTGTTGACTCGAAATTTGAATTGAAATAAAATATCATTATTGCTTATTTTTCGAATTTTCTTTGTTCATATTTAAGTTTTTTTCGGGATTTTCGGCTGAGCAACAATTCTGGAACTTACCTCAAACTTCGAGTTTATCAATCTTTAAAGGAGAAACTGAAAATCCAAAGTTTGAATATTTGAAGAATTTGGTTAATCCGATTGTTGAAATGATCTTTTACTTAATTTTATAGGTTTTCTTATTGATATGAAACAAATGAAGTCTTTCGTTTTCATATTTTGGAAACGTTCAATATTCGTTTTCCAGGTTTTTTTGTAGATTTCCGGGTGGGGTTTTTTCTAGAAATTGAAGATTTCTTTCTGGAAATAATTGCTTGAAAATAATTTTTTTTGTCGAAAAAATTCGAAAATCGCCAAGATAGTTTTCGATTAATTGTCGACTATCAATTTCAAAAATTTATTATTCTTTTTGAATAAAAAAGTTCAGTGTCCAAATGACGAATTTTTTTTCAAGTATGGGTCCAAAATGCTGGTCATTTTTGCAAAAATTCGGATTTCGTTATTTTTTGTGTCTGACATAGATTTAGATCAATTTCACACTGTGTGTTTTGTGATTCTTCGATTTCGCAACATTTTAAAATTATATCACTCTAGTTCACAGAGTAATTTATTTCAATGAAAATGACCAGTATTTTGTACCCATTGATTAAAAATTCGTCAATTGGACACTGAACTTTTTATTCTAAATTTTTTGAAAGTTATCGACCTGTTTTTTTGTAGGTTGTATTTTTAATTTGTTTATTGATCAGGTGTAATAAAACATTAGAGGGCAGGACATGAAAGACTCAGAAAAAATGCCCCTCACGAGGCCGATCTGAGTAGGGGATTTTTCGGAGGATTTTCGGAGACAGGGTATGTGCATTCTACCGTAACGGTGTACAGCGCTTCATGTCACTCTGTGTACAGCTGTCGTCCTCACCCTTATGTTTACCATCTTGCTCCCGCTTCACTTTTGCCCGCGTGGCTCAGTCGGTAGCGGCGTCGCACACTCAATTCTCGCACCGACAAGTTCAACTCCTCGAGAAG